CCCACCCCACCCAGTGCGGCACGATGGAGATCACCAACAACAAGACGAGCTACAAGTCGGTGCTCAACTTCAAGCAGTGCGGCTGGTTCTCCAAGGAGCTGCACCATGTCGAGGGCTTTGTCTACAACGGGAAGTGAGTGTGCTCGCGAAAAAGTGGCGATAAAAGTTTCCAGATAAAAGTGTTCAGATGAAGTTCCCATCTAGAAGTGTTGAGATGATAAAAGTTTCTTGATAAAAGTGTTCAGATAAAGTTCCCACCCAGAAGTGTTGAGATGATAAAAGTTTCTTGATAAAAGTGTTCAGATGAAGTTCCCACCTAGAAGTGTTGAGACTATAAAAGTTTCCGGATAAAAGTGTTCAGATAAAGTTCCCATCTGGAAATGTTGAGATGATAAAAGTTTCTTGATAAAAGTGTTCAGATGAAGTGCCCGCTTAAAAGTGCAGAGATAAAAGTGTTCAGATGTTGTTGTTGTTGTTGTTGTTGTTTTCAAATCCCTTTAGCTGCGAGTATTTCGCTCTCGGCAGCGCGATGCCTCCCTCAAGAAACCACAATGTTCAGATCAAAGTGTTCCGATAGAATACGTAAATAAAAATGTCCCAGGTGCCCAAATAAAGTGCCCTCATAAAAGTGCCTAGATTATACTAGATAAAAGTTTCCACATACGGGTGTTCAGATAAAAAGTTCAGATAAAAGTGTCTCGATAAAAGTTTCAACCCTAGATAAAAGATCCCAGATAAAAATGCCTAGATAAAAGTTCCCAGATAAAAGTACTTGGATACTCATAAAAGTGTCGAGATAAAAGTATTCACTTTTCGTAGATGAAGTGTCCGGAAAAAAGATAAAAGAAAGTTTCCACATAAAAGTTTTTTGATAAGTGTTCAGATAAAATACTTAGATAAAAATGTCCAAATGCCCAGCAGATAAATTCTAGATAATGCCCAGATAAAATGTTGAGATAAAAGTGCCTAGATTGTACTAGATAAAAGTTTCCACTTCAGGGTGTTCAGGAAAAGTGTTCAGATAAAAGTGCCTAGATAAAAGATCCCAGATAAAAGTACTTAGATACACATAAAAGTGTCGAGATAAAAATTTTCACTTTTCATAGATGAAGTGTCCAGATAACATAAAAGAAAATTTCCTCATAAAAGTTTTCAGTGGGTGGTTTGCAGGTGCTGTGGTGTGGTTTGCTCCTTGTTTCCTATCAAACATCTATCGTCCTTATGTCTTCTCCGTCTGCTTTGTGTATGTTACTCTCTTGTAACACCTCTAATCTTCTGGCGCTCATATGACCTTATGCAGTTGCGAGCGCCGTAAAACCTCTACTAAAACTAAACTAAACTAATGTTCGGCACTTATATGACCTTATTGTGTTGCAAGTGCTGTACTTTAACATTACTTTACTTTACTTTTTCGATCCAGCGGCCATCTGGGTTCTAGCCCTTCGGCCTCAATCAGAGTGCGGTAAAACTTACTAAATCCATCTTTGACCCTGTGCGTATAACTGCTGTTACTAAATCCGTCTTTGACCGTGTGCCCACAGGAAGAAGGAGCGAGCCATGTACGGCAGCTGGGTCCTGGGAATGTACAGCTGCCCAGCCGACGCCTACGAGAGCTTCCTGAGTAACCCGGACAACAAGGGGAGGATATCAACAAAGGTAATGCTCGGATGTTTGTTCTTGTGCATGAGAGAACAAGTGTGCGCACTCTCACACACACTCTCTCTCTCTCTCTCTCACACACACACACACACATACACATACACATACCCATACACATACACCCTCACACACACACTCCCACCCAAATATACATGTGTGCACACTCATACACATACTCCCTCACACTCACTCCCATATATGTGTTCACAATATCACTCACATACACACACACTCACACACACACACACACACACACACACACACACACACACACACACACACACAGTCACAAACTGGATATTGGGAGGGTATCAATTTTAAAAGCTCACAGACCCGTAACTGCTTTTGTATCACAAAACGGAGGAATCAGGGACTCATGGAGTTATCGGTATCACATTGAGGCCTGTTCATTAGTCTTACTTTTGATGAAAGAAATACTCATCTATCTTGAATAGAAGTGGAGATATTTGTGATCGAAGGAGGCAGGGGTCGCCTGGTTTCAGAGGTAAAATTGAGAAAATGGCCGCCAAAGTTCAGTAACTTCTATAACTTGAGAGTACTTACAAACAGAAAATTTACACTTTTTTTTTTTTACTTTGATAAATGTTTTTCTGTAAAATCCACACTGACATGTTTTTTTCATTTAACGTATATAGTGTTGAGCGGGGGAAAAAAATTCAATAAAATTAAGAAAATTACGATTATTTCGATTTCATTATTTTGATGAGTGCCTGATTGGACTACGATGCCTCACATTTCTGTTCAACTGTTGGTGGATTTATAATGATTTTTGTTCCATTTCTCATTCAACTAGCAATAACAACCCGGCACTAGTCAGACAGAAATGAAGCTATGTGTCCACAAATATTTACTTTTCCCTCAGTGCCCTTCAATTTATTTGTTCTAAAAATGTTTCTTCTATATTTGTTTATTCCTCCTCCTCCTCCTCCCTCCCACCCCCTATCCCCTTTCTTCCCTCAATTCTCCCACATCCTCCCTTCCCCCCATAC